ATATGATCATATCTGGGGGATTCCATATATGATCATATCTGGTTGTATTTGGTCCAAAACCAAATATAACCGGATAAAAAAAATTTTATATGGCCATATATAAACTTTTTCATAAGGGTGTCCTATTGTTTTAAACGTTTGTGGTTTGTAGGGGTGTCGTCTGGTGGATTGAGATTATTTGTTTTAATGAGGAAGTGTTGTGAATTTTATAGTTTTTGAGGTGATGATATAGGTTGGTGAATCAGTTGCCCTTCTTGTGCAACTAAATGGCAATACTGCAATACTTATTTGTGTAACTAGTGAGCAAAGGCCATTTGCGCTCGTATTACACATTAAATTTTTCTATATTCACTATAAAACATATAAATAATTAGTCTTTCAAACACTATACAACACGTTTTTAAGTTAGGTTAAAACCAAGCCTGAACGTAATGGGAAACACTGCTGATTGTAGTCGTAGTATCTTTAGGTGTTACCACTAGTATTCGTGGGTGTTACATATTTCCAAGAGTACACTTATTAGAAGTAATAATCAGTATAAACAGAATAAACGAGTAATATTGTAACTTTCTTACTTACGCAACAAGAAGAAAACAGTTTGTATGCTCGTTCATACTTCTTTCTTGATTTTTCAGGAAACAGGTTTGCAGTTTCTGCTACATATTTCTTCTGGTGTACACATATATTCACAATAGAATCACTGAGTTCATTATTCTCAAACCCCCCCCCCCTTATAATTATTCTTTCAAATACTACACTTTAGGTTATGTTCAAGCATTGAACGAAAACATACAAACACGAAATGACAGGTTAAATCGTAGTATCAATAGTCAATCAGCTGATCATATTAATAGTATATTTAAGTGTTGCCAACCTATTTCCAAGTATACTCGGATTACGTGCATAATAAAACCACGCTGTTTTGTGTTGTATGATTGGAATACTGGTGTGCGCCAAGTATAAACGGTGCGACAAAGTAAGTCAATGCAGCAACTAGCAGCTTTCTGTACTATAATCAGTGCAAGGAGGCCAACTTTGTCGGGTGACTGTAGGGAAAAAAATAAAACTCATTTTAGCTATAGTATATTGTATGCCTCATCAACTATCATAATGCGAGAAAATGGAACTCGAATATTTTTACATTTTGTGATAAGAAGGCAATAAGGTCGTATTTAAATCCATATAAGAGTGAAGGGTTACGTTATGAATGTAGTGGAATGCCTTGTAGTTTTGTTACTTGTTACCAGCTATATCATTACCCCTGGCCATTTGTACAAAATCCAATGACCAAAGCCATCATTAGCGGCTCACTTTACAACCATCTCATATAAATAAGTACTCTTCAGGTAAAAATACTGGGCAGGACAATTTAGTGATGTCAACGCCTGTATCCAAATTCAAAGCTATTACTCAAATTGTCCACACTAAAAACTGACAAGAGCTATAGTGACGTCTGACAAAATCAAAAGATCATTTATCTAAACTTCATCTCCCCTCTGAGGCCCTAACCCATATCTGCCATTCTCAAAAGAATCGCTGTTTCAAAAGTCATCTTGGAAAACACTTTAGTATTTCTGCAAGTTGTAACCCACATTCTCACACCTGCTGGTGGTATTGTCCAGAAAAGGGTTCTCGGGCGAAAATAGAGGTAAGGATTGACAGATGAAGATGCAACTGCTTAACAGGGTGAATATGGGTTTTGGTCCTCGAACTGGTGGTAAACAACCCTTTCAATGGAGGCGTGAGAAAGTAGGTTGTTTTTCAAACCAAAATCAATCTATTTTGCTTAAAGCTATGGCAGTTCTCGATATTTTCAGATGTAAAGCTACATAGGATTAAATTTTATGGATGCGAATGCAATCGATAAAAAAATTATGTAATTATATTATTGGTTTGGAATACAAACATTCTGATATGAGTACATGTATAAAGTACATCACAACTTCAAGTCGGTTTATTTATTTTAAAAGTTCAAGTTAGGTTATTGGGTGGGTTAGATTAGCTTTAATTGGAATATAAAAATTCTGTATTGACACAATAATCATTCAGGTTATCGTGCTAAGATCAGCTAGGGATTGAGTTGCATTACGAAATTCTGAGATTACATGAAATTTTACATCAAGAAATTGACTTGTGTATACACAACTTTAAGTGGAAGGGTAAGGGTGTTGTAATTTGCTAAAACGAATCTGTGTAGTCTTAATAGAGTAAGCTAGTCCCTTTTGCAAATGACGAATGCAATCCAGACACATAATTCAAAGGCTTCACACAATTAACACATGGGGGAGAGTTGACTTGTTTACTTTTAATTTCCATCCGACATCGAAACGACCCCTAGTGTGTAACATGCGTATGGGATGAGAAAATGTGTGGTAAACATTAGAGTGTGGAAAAATGTGTGGTAAATGTTCTGAATGCTCTCTTCAAATAGCATGTGAGTGTAATTGAAAAATAAAAAGTAAATCAAGCTTGCCTGAACGAATTTGTTTATATTTATTTAGTAATGTTATACTGCAACTTAACCTAACCATCTATTTATCCATCCATTTCCTCATCACGTTTAATTAATCTTTTCCCGTATTAAGATTCATTCTGTATGAAACTAACAGCCTTTCCCATTTTCCTAGCCCTATCTGTGATCCAATGTTAATACTAAAAGCAAGAAAACCTCATGTTATTTTGTTTATATCAATGGTTTTAGTAAACAACAATTGGAAAGTGCAAGCTTAGCTTAGCTTAATGGTGAAGCCATTATCTTTAGAAAGTAAAAGTGCGTTATACATGCATTACTCACAAACACATCATACAATTTGTTTAAACATTGTACTTTTCTAGTTTTCTACAGTTTTAAGGGTTGCGTGTTTTTATTTTCCTATATTTTCCCTTTTGTAAAGGGAACATTGCACATGCCTCCATATGCACTCTTTAAAAGTGAATCTAGGCCATTGGAAAAGATAAGCCATTATTTTCCTGTTTAATCGTTACCATGAAAACCATGAATATAGACTACAAAAATACATTCCCAACTTAAAAAGATGCCACCAAACACTTGTAAACTTCGAGAATACTTTTCCAACGTAGCTTTTGAATACAACTTCGAATGTGCAATTTAGACACGATTATTTTGTAGAGCAAATATTTCACTATATATACATAGGCTGTTGAAAGTTAATGTAGGCAGCTAAGAATATGAGATCAATCACATCTATCAAATAATCAATGATCATGCACTACACGAAATGCACTATCAAGGTTGGTGTTTGTTCGTCACCCTTTTTTCGTACATATTTCATTGTTCTTCTAGATTTTGTGTGTGAATTTGAATACTACGGCTGTCTTTTCTTTTCTATTTTTCCAGGTTTGTATAATAATCCTGTTATGTTTTTAGGTTCCTCATATAAGAACGGAATCAGATCCTAGATTCTGAAAAGTCGTGAAAACTTGTTTTAGGCCCTATAAACCCTGAAACACGCGAATATATTTTCATTGCGACTCTAATCAGTATCAGAAAATATAACTGCAACTTATTATTTCCAGCACTTATTCGTCATTTACGAAGATACAACACTGTTTCCAGTGACTCCAGTACACATTGTAGTACAGTTTCGAGTGCCGCTTTATAACTTGTTGCCCCCGGTCCAGGATCTTTTGTCCAGAGTTCGGTGAACAAGTCATAAATTAGCCAGGCAGGAGTGGGGTCCTTAGTCCTTAGTCTTTGTAACAATACCGACGCATCCTCGCCTAACAATAGCCGTGGTTGGTCTTTTCAAGTGGTAACTGTTGCTTAGAGAGTACCGTGTGCCGCGGTTCGGTTCTGTACGTTTGAAATGTTTTGGATCTAAAGTGCCCAAACATTTAAATTGAGTAATATATTTGTTAAGAGTTAACTGATGCTAATGTGTATCTCGTGCCATTGTTCGCTTCTATGTTCTGTACAATTTTAATGTCTTGGAGATTTAAGGGTTTAAATATTAATAAGGCCGGTATTATACTATCATAGTTCTATGACATATTATATTATCAAATATATGATAATATGTTCTCTCAAGGAGAACATATTATCATAGTTCAAAACCATTATAATAGTTGGTACATTACACTGTAATAATTTTCATCAAAGACATATGATAATAGATATATGTCATAGAACTATGATAGTGTAATACGGGCCTAAAAATGGCTGATGATCATGTACCGTGTGCTGTTGTTTGGTTTGTTCTGAATTCCGTAGGTTTCGAATGTCTTTGATCGTAGATGTATTGAAATAAAAAAATAAAATCTACAGGAAATGTAACGTAGGCTAATGGAATGTTTAGTTACTGTACTGGGTGTACCTTTTTACGCCTTGGTTGTGTCGGTCGAGTGTTCCGTAGGTTCTAAAACTGTGTGTGACATTTAAATGGTTGAATTTGGTGATGGTACAAATTTAATTATAACATTTTTCAAATAGTGGCTGTTTCTTAAATGCACCGTTTGCCAGCTGTTTTCTATGATTTGAATTCCGTGGGTTTAAAAATCCTTTCACCTTAAAGGTATTAAAATGTATTGGATGTACTATTTACCGGTGTATGTTTCATTATAAATTTTAAATGCTTTGGGTTTTGAAGGTATGTAAATATGTCATATAAAATCTCTAGTCATAACAAAATTTAGGTGAATGCTTCTGCTTGTACATTCTCAAGAGGATACAGTAGAATAAACAAATTAAAACGAATTTAAATGAACGTTTACATCCTCAATCTTAGGGTAAGTAACCATGCGTGAAACGTGGTCATTTTTCACGATATTCTTGGTCAATTTATTTACTTTTTAGAACTGTATTTACGACCAATCTTAAGCAAAAGGGTTGCTCTTGACATCTCATAGTTTTTCAATTACAATTTTAATACTTGCACTTTTGAACATATGATCCAAATAAGAGTTTTCCTCCTATCATAATTCCATCCTTCAAAAATTCAAAACCACCATTTCCCACTACGAAAAAGTCAAACAAGTTTCAATATCAAAACCATTTATTCAAACAAAACAAGCATCAAATAACTTAATTTGAGTAACTCCACAAGACGACAAAGAAATACACGAACAAAATGAGCAGTATGATTTCTATGATGAGATGAGATAATTTTCCGTAGTCCAGGAAGACGATCAGGGCAAAAACGAAGTTGAGAATCCACACTACCAGAAGCACGACAGCTCCTATCTGTACGAGGATGGTCATATCTAGAAGAACTCCGACGAGAATGAGAACTCCGACAATGATGTACAGGGCTGCAGACAGTGTGCCAGCCATCTTACTGGAGTTCCCTTTGTCGTCGCCACCCATTTGATTACTGGACGCGAAGATGATTCCGATGATTATGCATGTTGCTCCGATGATCAGGCAGCCAGTCTTCAATGTGAAAACCAAGCAACAGTCGTTGACTTTTGGAATCATTTTCGTAGAAAATGGATAACTTACTGCAAGCTTCTTGAAACCAGGCAATAATAATATGTTTACTTTTGTGTGTGCCAGCTGGTCAGCTGGAAATTTGTGAGATGTTTGGAATATTATTCTTAGAGCAAGGGTTGTGGAAAAATTGTATTCAGGGTATCTTCATACAATGGTGGGTGAAGTAATTTTGCTTGGCTGACGTCATAGGAGGTAAGTATGTGGTTTTTTTTTACTGTTTGGATCATTTTATGAAAAAAGTAGACTCTGCATGCTCCCTTTTACTCAAAGTAATAATGATCCGTACAATTTTAAACGTAAAATCTAAACAACGTTGAGTATTATTGATATCTTATTAAGGATATCATTTTAAACATATTTTGTACCATATCAGTTTTTTATCTAATGTATCGTGTTAGCAATACACTTGGCAGTTTCTAATTTCTTTTTATTATTGTTGAAGCCTTCCGGAATTGGTAATAAATTATAACAGGTTACATACCTTGACGTCCACAATTCCTCAGTCGAACTTCCGTTGGCTAGTTTCGACTACTTAGTAATCATTTTCAAAACGGACAATTTCATTCATCGAATTTAATTATTTTTTTTTAATACATTAAACACACATACATAACATGGTACGCATTTAACATAGTTAGAAGTATGATTAAAACTATTTTGCAAATCTTACAAAGCTGTAGTGTAAAGTCTAGGAAACGATGTATTGACTAATCATGTTGGTTCAGGCTTAGTTCCGAATAAATTGCAAAATCTGCCCAAGATTAAGGAAATGCTAATTGTTCGGTATTAACCGGTGCTATGGGCTCATGAGTTGTCATTAGCAGGGAACATTGAAACTACCGATTCAAAGGATATGCATGTAATGCACACATCTTTACTCATAACTCATGGTTGCTCATGGTAATGTTAACTCATGGCTGTGCATGAATAGTTCTCAGATAAACTGATAATTTCAAGTAAAATGGATTTTTATGGATGTTGTTTGGATTTCTTACTTCGTAAAACGTTTAAACGTGATCACTATTCATGCCATCAATTGGATTTCCTAGTGTTTTACCTCCATGGGAGGTCGCTGGTCGACAATCACCTGGCTGTCATCAGTTGATCAGCTGATTGTCTCTCAATCACCAGCTGTTATTTCCTTCCTCAGTTCTGATTGACTGTCAGTTGGTGACCGCCCACCTGTTACTAAGGGTAACCTAATTATTTTCCTAAACCTTCTAATTAAATTAGGTTGGCTTAAATGTTTACAAAGAATAATTTTCTGAACACTATGCATCGGTGATTTCATTTTGAAACATTATTAAATTAGTTAAATTATCTTCTCTATACAAACAAATCACCACGGGTCAATAATGTCTAAGGAATTCATGAACACAAGCCTAATCCTAATCCCCTAACCCTACGCATTGGTATTTCATTCTCTTCACATTAATGAACAATATAAATCGTCTACGTTATATTACTAAAATACAATCGACCAATTTTCTACAATCTAAGGACTTCATGAACAGAATATAGATTCACTAAACACTATGCATCAGTTCTCCCTCCAAAAGAAACGCTGAACTGTCCGATGGCGCCAAGCAGAAGGTCAGGGATGATCTACAAGATGTTCCTGGAAATCTCCCTCCATTTCACCGCCCCGCCGTCTCCCAATGAGTTCCCTGAAGATGCGGTCCTGGGGCAGGGCTGATAAATCAGTTAGGACTGGCGGAATAATTGGGTCTAATTTGGAAGCCCTGAGGGCGTGTCTGTGTCAACGGATGAGCGTTCAAATACGGTGTAACCAGTAGTCTTTGGACACTGGAGAAGACAAACCGTCTAAATAGACGGTTGTTGTAGCTAGCTTTTTAATATAAAAAATAAACTTTTTGATGGAATACTGTATCTATTAATTTTGGTTATCGCATAAGCTAGTTTGGATTCTGGAGTATTCATGTTATCTATGTGAACAAGCTGTACTCTGTATTTTCGGTTAAAAGAGAGTGTAGAGGCATAAAAGGAGTAGACTCTACTCCTTTAATCTAATGCTATAATTATGATACTGGTATTGGATATATACCATACCCATTGTCAATGATACTGGATAAGACTTATTGGGCAACCTGTAGTTAGTTTTTAATCAAAGAATTAGATGGATCAGCTGTATCAGCTCACTGAATGTGTTAGCATTGGCTATATATGGTTTTAAAGGCGATATTTTTGTTTTCAAACAATAACAGCTGTTGTGACATAACATGTTTCACAGTTACTGGTCCGAAATTAAATTTTATATTTTCATTAAAAATTCCTAAACCAGCTGATAGATGTAGGCTAAAAAAAAATAAATTAATAAGTAAACAACAAAAACTACAAAACTACAACATCTTCTGGCAAACGCGTGAGTAGATTTTCAAATAACTAATAATTTAAAAGTGTGATTAATCAAACGAGTTTGGCAAGGTCCTTCAATTTTAAAATACATTTTAAAATAGGCTATAAGCCAAATCATAAAATATGGTACAAAAGCGAGTATGTCAAATCCATTGTATTTTGTACCCATTTTTGTAGCTATCCTGGACTAAAGTTTTAAAACAAAACTGTTTATTTGTAAATAGTCTAATATCGTGAAGCGTCCTTTACACACTTTTAAATCAGGTTTCCATAAATACGAAATACTTCCCTTAATGGTTAAATTAATGTATTTTATATTTTTTCATCTCCTAAATTCACACGGTTAGTTATAAGTTGGCGAGTTTATGGTTTAATCATCAAGTCAACCTGTTATGATGTGTGTTTCGTTCTGGGTCAACATTCCCAATTTGTCAAACCTTTCAGAACACTCAGCAGCATCTGGGACCAATATAACCTTTGCTATCTCACAGTCGACAGTCGAGGAATTAGTCGACTAATGCGTTTAGTATTTGGGGTGAAAACGCATAAAATTTGACGACCGCCCTTTTAAATTTGACCGCTGTCAAAATCATTCTGTTTTGACCCAGGGTGAGGAATGTTTGCCTTTAGTTTGGCATTTATAGCGTCACAAATCCATTAGGCCAAATATTGGGCCAATACTGACTATTCTGGGTGATTTGTGTTTCCAGATAGTGTTTCAGGTTGTGAATTTCAGGGTGGGTTGGAATGTCACATGTGGAAAGTGTTACTGTGAGAGGAGTTTCGGGGTGAAAATGTTTTATATGGATTCTGTTGCATAAATTAAGGGGTTTCGCATACTCCCTTTAGCAGGCATGTTACTCATATTGTTTACCGTATATTGTGTAAGTGTAAGTTAAAGGGTAGGTATAATTTCACATCTAGATAGTACATATCCCAGTTGTTGCAAAAGTCTTCAGCAGATATGATAAACACGTAGTAAATTGAGCTGAAACAAAACAAAACATAGCGTTTCATTATTGACTTACTTAATTGGTATAGTCAGTAAAATAATAAGTTTATTTTATTTTGATGTTACCTCAATGATTTCGTACACATGTGGTTCCCATAACGTTTTAACTGGACCTTTGGTGAAGTTGGGGTGGATTGCAGCATCCCCCCGTAGATTATGGACCATAACTGTCATATCACCATAAAACTCCTCTCTCGCTCTCGAGATATTTTCAGTGTCACCGGTCCCCAATGATTATATTTAGACAGGTTTATGTCTGGCTATTGATCACAAAATTAGTGGTTTTCAACCGCTTATTGCAACAGCAGGTCAACACCAAACATTACTGGCAATCGTTGAGAATATTGTTGGGTTTAAAATTATTTCTATACAACAGGGTTTTGTTAATATTACGTAAAATTATTAGGAGATAGTGGATTTTTAACTGATTTTTTCAACAGCAGATCAACACCTGGTCGAAAATTTGTATGGTGACTGAGAAAGTTGGTTATTTAAACACAGTAGATTTATATTTTGTACAATGGGTAGTGATGTTAGATGTTACTACCCATTGTAATAGTGTATTCATTCCACGGATCCTATGAGTCAAATTCTAACACATTCTTAACACATATATAATGAAGGAAAATCTCCTTTCTTAACTTTGCCAAGCGGACAGAAATTATGAAAAATACAGTTTAACTCTTTTGTGAACATTATTTACAAACCAAGTAATTAAAAGGATGGATTTTGTAACTTTTCTATAACTCAACTGTTGTACGGAAATTATTTAAAAATTGAGTTGAAATAAATGTAAATTTTGTCACCTTTTGGTGAATATCACAGCAACATAACAATTTCATATCAGTTCCTGGGAAAAGAAATCGTCATAGATACCGAGCGAATTGAAAGAGCTTCTTTCTTGAGACACAAAATACAATAATTTCTGTCCTTTCCAGTTATCTGTCTTAGTACCAATCTAAGAATTGGAATCGGACCAACCACTACAGCTTCAAAACTATAACTTCGCCCGATCCTAGGATCATACAATCCTCCTGGACCTATACCCTTAGCAATAAGGAATTGTCTCTGGATGCAAGATAAAATCTGTTTGATCAGGGGAGCTCCAATGCTGCTAAGGCTATAGGCCTACTGTATATCTTTACAGCTGGTACAGTATGTGAATTAAACTTCCTCGTCCTACAGTCCTACTTACAGTATCCTACAGTACAGTAGTCACTTGGTCTTAGAATCAAGCCAACCACGTTCTTCAACCTCCTGGACAATCAAACCTGCTCAACTCCAAACCCACGACTTCAGCCGGTCAAACCGTACTGCCTTTCTGATCGAGTTCTTTATTTATATACCAAAATCGGAACACCCGCAGTCCAGATTCCCAAGTGGCCAGGTCTGCTGACACCAGTTTTTGCCGCTTCTGCGAACTCGGCGGCGGCGGCACTCAATAAATTTGACCCAAGGTTGTCGTTCAACCAAGGTCTACATTGGATCGATCCCGGCCTAAACGGCCAAATGGACTGTTATTGCTTCTAAATGCTGACGACCGAAGTCGTCAATCCACTCGAATTACGGTCTGGATCTCGCCGATTGTAATTGTCCGGAGGGATCGGCTGGAATGTGATTTAATTTTCGCAATTCGTCCCACCTTTGTTGGGTCTGGGTGAATTGCAGT